TTAATCTGATAATTTATTTTTCAAAACTGTAGATATAAATAATAGTCACTGAATGACTAATGCATGCTTTAATTTACCATTAGTTGCCTAGCAAATATTAATCATCTAAATAGTTACATGCAGGCCCAAGAACTCAATGTATATTTGTAGTTTACAAATGCATGATTTGGATATTTAATTTAAGATACATTTAGCATATAGGGTTGCATATCTAACAATTTAAAAATCAAGTCTCTGATATTAACATAGAATATATTTGTTTCAGTGTTGAAATTGTTGAAAACTTGAAAACAAATTAAGGTAAGATATAACGTCTACATTTACATGACAGATAAACTAAACCTAGCTAACCAAGGTAAAAACCAGATCTTGGCATCTTATTGTGGAACTCTGTTGTGTCATTATGGTGAAGAGTTCAAAACAGAAAGAAAACAGACATCCAAATCATTCCTTAATGAAGCATGTTTGGAAGAGATCTGTTCTTCCCATAGAAATTGAATTCTTTTCCATAGTTACTCGGTTCTGAAATTCGCTGCTCTGCAAGGATGTCTTTAAGCTGAGCTATTCAGTTCTCTCTGGAGGTTTCACAAGGGAGTTCCCTCATAAGATAAAACTATTTACAAAGATAGCAAAAAGGAAGAGAATAATAGTTATAATAATATATATAGCAAGTGAAGCAAAAGAAATTGCTCACCACCCACTGACTGATGCCCAATTAGCCCCCTGGTAAGCAGAAGAGATAAAGATTGACTCCCATCTCCTTCAAAATTCCTTCTTCATGACATTATATGGTATGAAATATCCCTTTGGCCAGTTTAAATCAGCTGTCCTGATTCTGTTCCCCCCAGCTCCTTGGGCCCTTAGCTGAGAATGGCTTTGGCTCTGTACTACACTGCTTAGCAGCAGCACATCGCTGTGTCACCATCATTGTTTTTCTCCTAGAACCAAAACATAGCACTATACTAGACACTCTGAAGAAAACAATTGGATCCCAGCTGAAACTAAGACACTGTTTCAAGCAACAGAAACATATCACCAATACATGCCAATCTTCAGAAATGAAAGAGACAGGGGAACCCAAATAAATGTAAACATGTGGTTTAAACAGGCTGCATGACAGTATGGAGCTGCTGAGTACATAGCGAAAACTGACTGAACTGAGTGTGGACTTTTTTTCTTCAGATTTTTGAAGCATCTCCATCTCTGTAGTCATCCTGAAGGGAATTTTAAAACATTTTACAGGTAAACTGATTGTCCTTTGGGGCATGACATACAACATTTTAGTAAAGTAGTAATGAAATTAGGCATACTGGATGGCAGTCTTTGTTAAATGAAGAAATCCACAGGGTGAATTAGATATACTTGCAGTATATCCTTGGCTTTGCTGGTAATGATCTACACACATGCCTGATGTTTAACAGACCTTGCTTCATACTAAATCTGAGACATATGGCAGCCATTATTTAAAGAAAGCAATGCATTTCTTCCCTGTCAGCAGTGTCAGTACTGAAGCAGAGCAACTGCTCTTACAGAAGTCTCAGTTATCCTTATCTCCTGCCTGTAAGTCTTGATAGTCTCTGTTTTTTAGTCCTTCTAGTCTTTGTCAAGCACATGAGTTTTTCCTATTCCCAAACATATCCACTACTCTGCTCAAGAAGATGTTACTACTCCTTGCAGTTACTGGTGCTCCTCACTCTCCTTTTTTTTTTTTTCTTTTTTTCTGACGGTCATTAACAATGTGAATTGCCAGGATAAATATGGAACAAAAATCTTATAATCATTTCAGACATACTCCTTAAACTGTAATAATCTCAACAATTTATTTTTAAAAGACCTACAGAATCCACAGAATGACTATTCATGGAATTTTTGTTGTAATTATATTTGCATTTCCTTTTATTATCATGCAAACATGATCTTGAAGATTGTTTATCATCTCAGGGACATTTTGTGCTTCACTGATTTTTTGACTGCCCAGCTTCACAGCTTAAGAATGACTCTTGTTGAAAGTAAGGCCTTGGAAAGTGTCTCAGGTTGGATCCTCAAAATGTAAAGTCTCCCAAACCATTAGTCATTTTTTAAAATCTTGGCCATGATCTTTTATTAGCCTGTAAAAATTTATCACCATATATTGCACCCTTTAAATAATTAATAGCAACTCCAGATGATGGAGAATCATGCAAAACAAATGTATGAAGGAGAATTTGTGGGCAGTCTTGATGGTTTCTTGGACGGTAGGCCTTTCTGTGATACCTGTTTGGGCACCCAATCATGTGTTCCCAAAGTGCTCTTTCCAAAATGTTTAAATGCATGTGGGAATGCATATTATAGTCAACATAGGCTTTCTCTCCTGATTTTGAGGACTTTTCTCTCCATTTTTTTTTCTGCTGTTTGTATAAAAAAAAAAAAAAAAAATCTTGTTAAAAAATTCTTGAAAATAAACTTGCTGGTTTTTTTTCTCCTGGTGAATCACAGAATGGTTTGGATTGGAAGGGACCCTTATGATCATCTAGCTCCAACCCCCCTGCTATAGGCAGGGACACCTCCCTCTAGACCAGGATGCTCAAGGCCCCATCCAGCCTGGCCTTGAATGCTCCCAGGGAGGGGGCATTCCGAGCCTCAATGGGCAACCTGTTCCAGTGTCTCACCACCTTGACAGTAAAGAATTTCCTAATATCCAGTCTAAATCTGCTCTCTTTCAGTTTAAAACCATTTCCCCTTGTCCTACGACTACATGCCCTTATAAAAAGTCCCCCCCACCCCCCCGCCGGGGGGCCCCAAGCCTTCCTGAAGGCCCCCTTCAGGTATTGGAAGGCTGCTATAACATCCCCCTGGTGCATTCTCTTCTCCAGGCAGAAGAGCCCCAGCTCTCTCAGCCTGTCCCTGTAGGGGAGGTGCTCCAGCCCTCTGATCAACTTCAAGCGAGTACAGGTCCTCCTCTGTACTCGCTTGAACAGCTCATTGAAATACCTGGTCTCCAAATCCTCAGAGGTCACATCATGACATGTTTCTCCTTTGCCAAATAGCAGTTTACCCAAACAGCTCCACTGTCTGTCAAGGTAAGCTACAAGTCCCTCTGCCTAGGACTTCTGTGATAGCATCATAAACATCTGTACATGATCAGCAGGTTAAAGGAAAAATTCAGACCCTCCTGAAGCATAAGAATAATGAATCTTTCTTGTTAAATGTGCAACATCTGGCAGCTTGCAGTGGAGTGTCACAGCAGATATCTGCCACCATTACTCACTGTTTTAAACTTTTCAGTTCAATGTTTGTGAAGGTCTTGACTCATTCCTTAATGGTGAACAAATCTCAAAAACTCTGTATCCATTCTATATTCACTTCATGAAGATTTAACACAAATGCAAACCAGATTTACGCGGTGCTGGCTGGCTTTGACAAGAATCACAGATATACTTTTCATCGTCCAGCCTCCTTAAATCAATTGTAACTGAACTCACAACTATTTTAACATTCATACTGTGGTGCTTTTCACCTCTACCCATCTCCCTTCCATGGAGTTCAGCTGACCAGCTCTCTGGTCACTAGCATGTAGCACGACGACTGCTGCAGGAGGAAACATTCTAAGGCCTAGTTCTTTAAAATGGCAGTCATAATGAGAAGGTTAGTATGGCACATTTAATTTTTTGCTTATAAGTAGTATATCTGCTTAAAGCTAGAACTTTTATTTTTAGGCATAGGTGTAAATGTAAGAGATGGTGAAGAGTCTGGAGTTCTAATGGAGTGAAGCACTTAAGCACTTGTTTTGTTTTTAAGCCCGTACTTAGGCTACATCAAAATAGTGGGTAATAAGGTTGTATTTTTTTCCCTAAACAAAAGCAAGCTAGTACAAATACATACTTGTCAACAAAAGTTTAGAATGTTACAGGCATGTTAACATTAGCCTTACTGAAATCAGTGGAAGCTGAAAATGTACTTAAGGGTTGATTTCCTTTTATTTATTTATGTCATTTTTGCAAAATAAAAGAATGAGGATTAAAATGAAGATTAGGTTACTAGATATTTCTAAGACCTCTTTTTAGACATTCTGAATTTGGGAATCAAAGTATGAAGTATTACGAAATAAGTTATTGGAGATTTTGTTACTAAAAAAAATTAGATTGAACTGAATTAAGTTTATTATATGTTTTATGACGAACATAAACTCATAAAAGCTTTGAGGATGTATTTTACATTTGTAGCATTTTCATTAACTTTTCTTTTAAAATACTTATGTTCTGGCTTTGAGCCTGGCTAGTTTTTCTGATATTTATCTGTTACTTTTTGTACCAGAAAAGAAAACAAAAATCTCCCCAAAGTATTTAATGTGAGAAATATGCATCTATGCTTTAGAAAGTGATTTGGCTGGAAAGAGTTTACTTTAGATCAGTGATAAAACAAGATAATTAATTGCTGCTTACATAATTAAAAACAGACCTCACTGCAGGAGGCACTGTGGAATATGATATCTCAGTAGAAATATATTCAAAAATGTCTCAGAAGAAAAAAGAAAAGGCATGTTTTAATCCTTAAAAAAAAGACAATATATGTTATTAAAAAATTCTTAGCAAATGCTTTTGCTATTTTCTTCCCCTAATCAAGAATTACATCTTTAAATGGCAAGGCAGCATCTGCATTTAATCAAAATCAAATAAAAGATTTCCGTAGGAACAGATGGCACTGTTTTTAATGCTTTGTGGCCAGTTCAGGTATTATGAGAATGAATTATGATGTAAGCAAGCTTTGTGTGTAAAGTATAATTTGACAGAAGTATTGAATAAAGGAACACTTTGTGTTACCTGTTTCATCTAGACCAGATCATCTCATCTGCTAAAATGTAAGAATCAAATGCCTTAAGCTCTGCGGCTGCTTGATGTTAAAGTCAGGATTTCCTGCCTTTTCTTGTCTAGGTGCTGAGGTGCCTTAGCTATTTTAGGGGTTAAAAGCTGTAGTCACTGATGCGTATATATTAGGCTGTATTCATAGAACACGGCTTGTAGCCTGACTCAAGCTATTACAGCCTAACAGCAGTGACCAATAGAAAGGGGAGATCCAAGAAAGCTGAGGTAAGCCCAAAATCTGAAGCAACCTCAAATTAGGAACAATTGCTAATAAGGTGTGTATGGTAATACATCTGGGAACGTTAGCACATAATTCAAGTTTTATATGCTATTAATTCTTAGGACAGGAAGCAAACACAGTGGTTAGCAGCCAAAGGCTGTAACAGTGATTTCTAACTGGCTGCAGACAGCTTCAGGAACTTGACTTACAAGGTAAACTACTTTATTTTAAAAATATTATTTTTATTATGATATCATATTATTATGAATATTTACAGAGTGAGAAGGTACCATTTCACTATGTAAATTAAATATGTTATGCATTAGAAATATTTTATTTGCCCTGTTTTGGAATAATTCCAAATAGCAGATTCTGAGACTAGAAGATCTGTAGAATATTGCACTTGTTACTGATAATAACAAAATTGAAAACTATTAACTGGCTGCACATGATATGCTGCAATTAGCTGAGCTGTTAATCTTAATGTTGCACTGGACATAGGAAATAATTCTCTCTTTACTTAAACGTTCTTTTTCTTCCAGAACCAATCTCTATATTTTGACCAGAAATCTCAGCCCTCTCTTGCTCCTGCATTTCAAAAAGCAAACTAGATAATAGAGTTTGTGAAGCACTGTTTTTGTGCTACATAAATATGTCCTGTTGGAGCAAATGATCATTGATGATCTTGTTCATTGTTTAATGGTGAAAAGGATTAGCAAAGCAAGTAATTAAGTAGGTGAAAAAGTTACAAAATGCATGAGTGTACACAAGATAATTCAGTTAGCACTTGCCTTTTTTTTGTAATTTAGATCAGGCATTTGTTTTGCCTCTTTGCTTTAGAGAAGAAAGTTCATAACTTTGAATTTGAAAGAGAAAGGGAGGAAGGGAAATGGAATACTCAAACATATTCCCTCTAAGCTTTTTAAGAACATGCCCAACAAACAGCTGTTAAAACATTCTTTGATCTTTCACTTTTATGTGATGAGAAAAGATCTGGAAAATCTGATCCAGATGCCATTATAATTTAGAAGAGAGGAAAACCAGAAAAGATCATATGATTAATTTAAAAGGGAGTAACACAGACTACAAAGGTATTAATATCATCACAGTATTGATAGCATTATTGAAGATTATAAGTTACATAAACTAGCTTACACAGAAAGCTCTGTGCAGGAGATTCTAAAATAAATACATTTATAAGAAGGACTGATTTAATGTCAGAGACACGCTCCATTCTTTTACATCTTTGAAATGATCCCTGCATGAACATCAGTTAAATTTGTAGCCATTGTGAAAACTAAGTTAAATCAGGAAAATATTCAACATATAATGCTGAACTGTCTATACTTCATATTACTATTTAGGAAATGCCATAGGTGACAAAATTTTGCTGTTTATAAAGGAAATATTATTTGCAATGTAATAATGCTTTGTTAATTTGGTATGCTGTTAGAGAGTTCTCTTGAGACAACTAATTGTTTTTTTCCCCTTCTAAGGCAAATGATGACTCTAAAAGTCTGTCCAAGTCTTTTGCTATTATTCATAGTCCATTCTGTGTGGACTCGAACTGTGAGACAAGTTTATAGTGAACTGGATCCTGAGCATTGGTCTCACTACACTTTTGAGTGCCCACAAGAGTGTTTTTGTCCTCCTAGCTTCCCCAATGCATTATACTGTGATAACAAGGGACTTAAAGAAATACCTGCAATCCCAGCAAGAATTTGGTACCTCTATCTTCAAAACAACCTGATTGAAACAATTTCAGAGAAGCCTTTTGTTAACGCCACTCATTTGAGATGGATAAATCTGAACAAGAATAAAATTACCAACAGTGGAATTGAGAGTGGTGTGCTCAGCAAGCTGAAAAGGCTTTTGTACTTATTCCTTGAAGACAATGAGTTGGAAGAGGTGCCAGCTCCATTACCTGTGGGCTTGGAACAGCTAAGGCTGGCTAGAAACAAAATCTCGAGAATCCCAGAAGGAGTCTTCAGCAATTTGGAAAATCTCACTATGTTAGATCTGCACCAAAATAATTTGTTGGACAGCGCTCTTCAAAGTGACACCTTCCAAGGACTCAACAGTCTTATGCAACTCAACATAGCGAAAAATTCCCTCAAAAAGATGCCTTTAAGCATTCCAGCTAACACACTGCAGCTGTTTTTAGACAACAACTCCATTGAAGTTATCCCAGAAAACTACTTCAGTGCAATACCCAAAGTGACTTTCCTTAGGCTGAACTACAATAAATTATCTGATGATGGCATTCCCCCAAATGGGTTTAATGTTTCATCTATTCTAGACCTACAGCTGTCTCATAACCAGCTCACTAAAATTCCACCAATCAATGCTCATCTCGAGCACCTTCACCTTGATCACAACAGAATCAAAAGTAAGTGTGTATCATCAGCGATATCACCAAGAAGTAATTCTTTTAAAATGGCTGCTTAACTTCAGAAAGGACTTGTTGAAAGCAGAGATTAAAAATGTGCAATGGGTTATAGGGAAATAAGCAAAAGGACCTCCCAGAGGCCAATTTTCAATTCTGTTCTAAACTATGACAAACAAATATGTGTATTTGAGTAATACCAACTTTTGAAAAATGTTCACTGGGATACAGAAAAAAAATTCCTTGTAAGCAGATCAGAAGTAGGAGGTTTAAGGATTTTTTTCCATTTGAATTTTGATATATACACACCAGTGGCCATTTTGTGAGAGAAAATTAAGTTTTCACACAAATACGATGAGAGTAAACGAGCAAGAAACAACAATAAAAAAATGAGGGTAATAGTTTGGGATGTTCAATGCACATCTGTATAACTGTCATATTTCCAAGGTTTGTGAGAACATTAGAGTAATTAGAGTAACAGAATCGCTATATTTTCAGCTGGTTTGAGAATCTCTTTGTCCACCTAAATTATCTGTAGGGACTCTTAAAACAGAATAAAGGGTAGGCTGTAGTCAACACAGTCTATTTTGAATATAACTAAAGTGTGGCTATTGAATGTTTCAGTTCTGAATATCCTCCCCATATTTCCTTTGTGTGTGTGTGTGTGTGTGTGAATAAAATGCTGACTTCCAGATTTTAGTCTTCCTTGATGAACAGTCTTTTAATTGACTTTACAGAAGCTTTGTCCCACTAAGGTTTACCTCTTCAAACATCACCATATAAATGAAACAAGGTTTTATTCCTAAGGCAGTAGAAGCTTTTCAAATCCTAACTCTGCTTCTAACAACATTTCCAGCATCTAGGTACACCAGGAATGTTCTGGTAAGGTATACCAGGTAGAGTATCTGCGTACAAGTCCTGCATATCATAAATATTTCTGATTACTAATCTGCAGCTGCCTTTTACTAGCCAGTACAGTAAGCTGTTTCATGCCAAAGGACAAAATCAAAGTGGTTGCTTTCTAATTATCACTGCCAGGTCTCCACATTTGTCTTCTTGTCATGATTTAATTGAACAAATTGTTTTCTATGTTGTGTTACTAAAGGTAACAATTTGGCTTCAGTATGAAAGAAAGACATATCAAAGGAGGATAGCTACTAATCATTTAATTAATTCTGGATTTTGGAAATCAAATGCATGAAAATTGATAAATATGGAAGAATTTTGTGCAACTGGAACCTTTTTAAGTGGTCTGCAAGAAGCCTAACAGTTAATTAGAGTTAAGGCTAATGACATATGCTGCTACAGAACATATTTCTGTGCCCTCTGGTTACAAAGGGATTTATTTTAATTGCTTCACTTCAGGGCCTAAGGTGTAGACTTTATCTCCTGTCACTTTAAATGGACAGTGAACTGAAATCATTGGAATGTAACTTGCCCAGTTAAGATGTGTTCCGTGTTTAGGTAGCAAAGAAGCATTTGTGCAGCTGCCAGATTATTTTCCTTTCTTAAGTTTTAAAGTAAGTTTAAACCATGAAAAGTAACCTCTCTAGTATCTTTAAACTGAAGTCTCATTTTCCAATGACACATGAATATCCATGAGTCTAAGTCACAATGATTTTCCACAAGACTTATATTTCTAAATGTCTTTACCACTTTTCAAATTGAACATTCATTACTTAAGCTCTTTGAAATTTTTCTCTCAATAATTTTTTCCAATGAAGTTTTATTCTTAGCAGCCATGTAAAAAGTCGTCAAACACATATATTAAAAAACTGATATATTAAATGAAATAGTGGTCTTATCTAAGCTGTATTACCACAGGAGTGTAATTGTTCAAGAGGTACTATAATGAACATAGGCACCATTGCACAATGCTTTGATGGGTATTTTACTGCATGCAAGGAATTTAATTCTGTCAGGCAGGATAATTAAGTTGTGTCATTGGTCAGCAGATTGTTCTTAAGCACAAGAAGACAATGGTCTGTCATTATTTTAATGTAACAAATATGAAGAACTTGAAAGAAAAGTAATTGTGAAAGCTTGGACCTGATTTTTCCATAAAAAATCCATCTGAAAATTTACTTATGCATGCTTAGTGTGACCTCTTCTACATTAATTCTCAGATAGTCCTGCATAGTTGCTAGTAGCTATTTTCTTTCCTCTTGGTTGTTCATAGTTACACTGTTGGCAACGCAAGAGTTCAGACACAAAAATTTGTTTGTAAATATTGTTTGTCCACTTTTTATTGCACTGAAGCCCAGTGAAACCAGTGGTAATCTGGTCTTGATGAAACCAAGATTTTGTTGTGTCCCTTCACCAAGAATCCCACTGCACTACGGAATACAATAGTACACAACATTTGGAAGCGAAATCAACATAAAACAAAAACCAATCGTGGCTACAGCAGATAAGCATCACTCCTGTTTCATCATTACATTATAGCTTTTTGCATATTTATTTATGAGGTACAAATGCAAGGCTGTGAGATGTCAAATCATGCGATAGAGAGTGTTAGAGGAAGCAAAAAGAGGTGAAGGTATGAAATAACAATGTGGAGAATGAACAATGGTAAGCAGATGGCATTACAATGTTATCAAAGGAGTGATAAAAGGGAGCAAATATTAAGTTTCCCTGGGGGAATGTCAGAAGGCTGAGCTAGCTCCTTTGAGATAATACTGTTCCATGCTAAGAAAATGGGAGAATTCCTTGGGCCAAGTAGCAATGCCAATGTCTCAAAATTCATTTAGGATATTTGGAAGAAAATGGTCTATGTTCTAGATCCTGTCTAATTGTCAGACTCCTGAGATATCACTGTTACTGGCTTTCTTGGTGAAAGAGCCCAGAAAAATACAGATAGCTGCTGTTAATTAATACAAAAAGAGGAAAGGAAGTCCAACTATTTGGGCATAGTAGGTGCTGCCAGATGCTGTGATAGTAGAACAGCCACACACTCCCACTCCTATATGTCCTAATACACCCATCTTCTATATCAACTAACTTTCTAAACGTTGAGATGTTATAAATTTATACTGGAAAAAGAAGCAGGATCTTTTGTAGCTCTTCAGCAGATGTAGAGTAGTAGCCAGTAATGAGGATCTCTTCAGTTTTCCCCAATAGCAGCTCCAGAGTCTCAGTGTAAATATTATGCTACTTGTCAATAATACTGACGACAGATGAATTTGTCTTCTTTAAAATAACCATCCAAGATTTTAGTATGTACTTTAAATTAGTCATTTAGTCCTCCACAATTCCAGAGGGAAATTCATCCTATCTTTAGGAGACACTAATCAACTTTTCTATGCGTCCAGTTCTCTCCAGAGTTTGTAAATGGAACTAAATGGTTTGCTTAGACTGACACTATGAATCAGTTCCTTTGAGGAAACAATACTAATGTAACTTGATTGCCCTGTCCCTCCTTTTGCTGGCAAAATTCAACAATAGACCTACGAACCCAGGATCGAAAGAGATAAAGGCTTTTACTCCTCTGATAATTTGGGTAGGATTTACTATTTATATGATAACAAAACAACTTTATACCACATATCATCAAGAAATCACTTTATAGATGGTTTTCTCATATTATGGCTGGAATAATTAGCCTAGTGAACACGATTCCACTGTGATATTTCCTAGATCAGAGAACACAGAATTTTAGAATTCATTTGAAGCCATCTTGTCTTCTAAGGACAGCAGTGCTCTTTGGCTCTTTGAAGTGCATTGTGACCTGAAAAGAAAAATTTTGCCTGCTATACAGTATTGATTCATTTGCAAAACTTTTTATAATTGCTTCCATAATTGCTTCCATAAATGCTTCCATAACCTTATTCTTAAACTTCCTGTTTCATATCTTCACACAAGAAAATAAATTGTACTTTGTTTCTTCCAACGCTATCAAATGTCTTATAAGAATATTTAATGCATTAATCAAATTTCACAACATATGCAAAGAGATTTTCTTAGAATATTTCTGATAGACTAGCTAGATGTATATATCCAGTCTCCATGACAAAAACAAAGTCTTTCAAGACATTGCCAACATCTGGGAAGTATTAGAAATACTACTTTTCTCTTTGAGAAAAAACAAGAATCATGTTTTTTGTTGTTGTTCTTGTTGTGGTTGTTCTGTCATAACTTCAAATGAATTTGGAGGCTGTAATCAGAAGATATGTGCATATTATTGCATATCTCTGAAGAAAGATCTTCAAAATTCCTCAGCATTAGCTTTGTTCTGCCTCCTGACTCTGACTCTGTGAAGTCAGAGTTATGTCTCAAAATATACTTACTGGTGTAATTGTCTAAGCTAGTTGGTTTTGTCTCTGTCCAAGATGAGATTATATGTCTAGCACACTTTGTTCACAAGTATAGCGTATAGCATATAGTTAAATATGTGATTCACTGCTCTAAATTACATTATCTCAACGTACATTTCTACGTTAACAAATGTAGATTTGTTAATTTGGTGTTATTTCAACAAGAGAAAGTTACTCCCACACAAACATTGGTGCAAGGTTGTATTCTTTTTCTAAGGACATTTTAGTTTTCAAAACCCTCCCTCTGGAAATTCACTAACATGTGTGATCTACATTTTCAGGTGTCAATGGTACTCAGATATGCCCAGTCTCAATTGCTGTAGCAGAAGACTACGGTCTTTATGGTAACATCCCCCGCCTTCGTTATCTTCGCTTGGATGGAAATGAAATTCAGCCTCCAATTCCTTTGGACATCATGATCTGTTTCCAGCTACTTCAGGCTGTTGTCATATAAACATGATGCTATTTTATATAAACATAATGCATAATGCACTCTTGTGCTGTGAGAATGCTAAGATACAAGTTTTGCTGGAATGAAACTTGTTTAACTCAGAAATCAAGAACAGTTTTATTTTGACTCTACTTTGTTCTTTGCTTGCATCTTTTCTGCAGCTGAAAAGATTGTTCTTCTTTTAGAAGAGATTTTGAATCTACATAAAACATTCTTAACACTTGACCTAAGAATTCCTAATGCAAATATGTAGAAAATTGTCAGTTGTAATTTCCCAAATATTCCAAAGCAAATTCTTATTTACTCTATCTTGTCAAATTCTACAATGTTTATCCTATTTATATCACTGGTTTAGACAAGTTATATTACCATGTATTTGTTACCTAGTAACTAGCATAAAGAATTTAGGTGCACTCAGCTAAATACTTGTTAGAGAAATCACATGTAACATGAATACTAGTTTATCAGAACTGTCACTGTCTTTTTTAACTGCCTAACAGTTATCAGCCATTTCATGTGCAAATAACTCATAAATTGTCGTCCTGACTGATAATGATATTTTTAAGACATGAAATATGTGAGACTCAGGATCCAAAGCATCATACTGAGTATTTATTACTTGATAGACTCAATCAATGTAAGATTTCAAAATTGAAGCTGGACAAGGCATACAGGATGAAATCTTGCTCTATCAAAGTGCCAATTTTCTGCTGTTTCATTCTTCAGTATTGCATTTCTAATTTTGACACCATTTCTTCCTTCATGGCCATTGAGTATTTGGTTCATATTTTGTTTCTATAGAGACAAAACCAAGAAAAGTAATGATGATCTATTTCAGAGTAGCTGTTTTACAGAAATTAGAATGACAAGTTAATATATCAGTAATAAACATAAATTTAAGAAATTAATAGATAAAACCCTCCCTCCTCTGACTAACCATAACTTATATACTGAACTTTGAAGATAAATATTTGCATAGGCAGTATATCAGTTGAAGCAAATACAACAAACTCTGGGCAGTGTTTAGCTACCTGCTGACTCATATAAATACACATAACTCTGGACTTCAGACATGTCCACTTATTTAGATTTCAGTAGCTAACAAACAGCATATTAGCAGGCATCTTTATACAAAATCTGGTTGATTGTGATTTTTTTTGTTGTTTGGTTGTTTCTTTTTGTTTCCTTTAGTAAAATAATACTGGGATTTCAGTACAAAACTCAAATATTTGAGTCAACTATTCACTCTATTCACTGTTAATTTTTCTTATTTCTGATAGCCAGCATAACAGACATCAGTCATATTATTTTATTTTTCTTGTATTTGTAGATAGAAGCAATTAGTTGAATCCATTTCTAACAATTTAAGACTGGCCTCAGTAACATCAGTTTAAACAATATATGTTGTATAGTCTTTTTCTTTGAAGAGATGAACCATTGCCTTAAAAGCAGATCTTTAAAAGCATTGAGAATTTCATCTTCTAACTTTCAGTATCATATTGTTTGAAAATCAGGACTTATTGCACTCCTTGCATATATATATATATATGACCCAGTACAGAAGCCAGATATAACCCAGTACAGAAGCCCACAATAGAATTAACTTATTCAGAAATCCTGTTGTAAAAACCTTTATTATTGCAGTTCATTTTATATGATTGCTGGAAAATTTTAGCAAAATATTTTCTGTACCTCTACGTTCATTCCATATGAAAAAAATACAGATCTAAAGTCTCTACAATATGTATCCATGTTTACCTATGTTCTTTAGTAATAACCTAGTAATTCATTTTTTGAAAAAGAATCAATTTTGGGGACAGTACTACTAATTAAATTATAACAATCATCATCTGCTTGTACTTGGAAATGAATTTCTACTTACAACAAAGAGAAAATAGTCTAGTATAGGTATTCACAGGTATGTATGTGCATTGTCAACAGTTCTAATTTATGATATTGCAAAGTATCCTTATGCTCAAGCCAGGGATTATGACATTTTAGGCACTACGTGTATATTAAAAAAAGACTAACCATTTCCAGTGAGATGTCAAGATTAACTAATAGAAGTAAATAGATAGAAGGACAAGAGAACATCAAAGTAGTCAGCTTTCTTGGTAGGGATATAATGTGCTCTTCCATGAAATCACTGCTAATGGTTGCTTTCAATCAGATGGGCTGATATCAGTAGGTTTTTCCAATCTGTGACATATGACTGTAGGGTGAATAGCCTTATGAATTAATTCTTCAAAGGTCAACAATTGGAACAATCACTTTTCACATGCACATTGAATCTAAGTATCTGTCCTTTTCAAATCCCAGTTAATTTCAGTGAAGACAAAAGTTCATGATAGCTCCGTTGAAGAACATTTACTGAGCTGAAGAGCTGCTGCTGCCAACTGTTGTGTCCTACACCTTTGATACATACAGCTGATTTTGCATCTGGAAACTGTTTAATGAAAAGAAAACCATAAGTATCCTCATTTAGGCTAATTTGTTCTGCCTTGGTTCCATCTCCCAGAAGCAGCAGAATGATATATAATTAAAAAGAGCTTTGCTACTACACTGATCTTCAGAAGACAAATCAACACTGATTGGGGATTGGGCAGATTTATTGCATGCATAAACTCTATTTACAATAGTCTTGGTGCTCTATATATTCAGAGGATATGGGTGAAATTTCCTCTCAGATTGAAATAGCAGGTCTAAATCACAGGATTTTTACTTACATCATTGAATTCAATCTCAAACTTCTGGCTGGCACAAATCAATTGTGCAATAAGAAGAAACAATGGAGAACTAAATGTAGGCTTTCAGCCACACTTCATCTAATTCATTTGTTATGCCAGAACACTATAAACGAAACTGCAAAACACTGTCATTTTCCCTATGATGATGGTCTCTCAAGCACTGTGAAATGCATACTGTGCTTGAAAATCTGATACTGATTATTCCTAATCCAATATTCATTTCTCACTGATATCTCCTGATTCAGAAATAACTCAGCCTCTTCCACTGCAAGGGGAAAGGAGCAGAGCTCTCATCTTTCCAGTCTCAACCCACAGCTGCCTTCATAAAGCTGACATTTGTTTTCCTTCATTTTCAATGTGCTCTGATAATTATTTTGAGCAGGTTATTATTTAAAGAAACAAAGATATATACAAGAAGTATGTGAAGTTCAATACAAAGCAAGTCACCTTAAGGACAGCGTGGTTGTGGCCAACAGCTAACCAATCCACAGACACCTAATGCTTTGCCAGAAATGCATATTAGATATGTTTTAATTCTGAAATTATGATAGTTAACACAGATGTGCTGTCACTTAAGCTCAGGGTGCAGATGGTTGAGCTGTAAAGCAAAGCAAAGAACCGAGAACTTCAGGAAGTGAGAAGAACCCAGACATTTCTCACACATCTGCCAGCCTGATGGAAGGCTGCATGCTAGATCTATCAAAAGCCTTTATGGTTTTATAATGCAGCTGGCTCTGTAGAAAGACAAGTCTTTTATAGATGTTGCCAACGCAGTTAAAAAGTCAGCCATATGCACAAGTTTTCCTTCTCTGTACTTCTCTCTGGCATTTTCTTTTTCTTTCTCACTATTCAAACAGCTTGCTACCACTTTCTTCTTCAGCATTTTTAATGAAAAACACCACAACAATCATCAGACCACAGCATCTTGTATGACGTCCAAACAAAGAAGCACATACAATTAGAGGTAAAAATTTTGAAGATGACTAGCAAGTTCATGATGTCTGTGTTTACTAACTCCAAGCTATATCCAGTATAAGCTCTAGCATTCACCCTTGTTGCACCCAGACGGTTTCCAATGTTTGCCACAAACACTTGTCATTTTTTCAGACTAGAAAGAATATTTGCTGGTACTATGTCCTAGCCAGTTTCATCATCTATTTGGAATTAGATTAATAACTATATTTCTGTATTGAAATACAGTACAGTATTCAGTACTGTATTTCAGTATCTGAAATACAGATAAATGGAACCACTTATCTCACTTCTGCAACGCATGGCACAGAAATTTTGGTATTGTTCAAGTCAGCTAGTAAACATCTTCCTCTTGTTTGAAAGTCTCCTCCATAATTGCTTATAATTTTTTTTTTCCAGAATTGCTTACTCTTTTAAACAGAAAGGGCAAGTCTACAAGGCATCACACTGTACGGATAATGATACTCTGGAGTACTGCTGAATACTTCAGATCAGGCATCCAGAGCAATATAATCCCTTGTGCATCATGCCCCCCCTTATCTAATTTTCCTTCTTCCCCATTAGTATCATTATTATTGTCTCTGTGTCATATTCTTGCTCTGGCAGAGTTGGTTCAAACAAACGTGTGCTGTAACTTTTTCCCAATGTAGTTGTTTCTCACATCCTTTGCACTGTTGCAATAGTGCAGATATACTCCTTGCTATTTTTGTCTTGCTTTCTGTAGGATATGCATCAGACTAACCTACTTGCCTCTTGGCCAGCTTGATTCAGTCTTATTTCTTCTTTTTTTTAATATATATTTTTTTAAGATTAAGCATGTTTATGCATGCTGCACTAATTTTGTCTGGTTCCTGGCAGCATAGTCACATCTATTTTTCTCTAGGGGAAGTGCTTTCCAGACTGCTGTTCACGTAGAACTGCAGAGCAGTATACCCCACTGTGCTCAAGATTCACACCTCCTCCTACGCACGTGCATGGACCCAGGCTGATGCTGTCATGTCAACAGGGTGTCTCTGGAAATCTCTTTTCCAAGGCTTTTGTTACCTTTGTTGGTTTATTTTTTATTTTTTATATATGAGAATTAAAGAAGAAACTGGAATCACATCTTCCATGAACAAAAGCTGTTCCTAATTAGGCACTAGCACAATGAAATTTGCATGGGGAATCAGCAGTGCTCAGTGAAACCAAGCTTTTTCAACAAATCATTTATTCATGAAAATACTCTATCACAGTCTTTCTGAATTGTTAGTGAATTTATAAAAATATGAAAATAGTTTCAACAACA